TGTTTCCCCAGGAAGCTGCTTACTCACCAAGCCTCAGTTTCCTTACGTGGGCAGTGGGAACAGTGATAGCACCTGCATCAAAGGGAAACTCTGTATAGATGAAAAACTCTGAAGAAAATGAAGAACTCAATACAGTGCCTAGCACATATTTAATAATGTCTCAATAAAAGTTGGCCATTATTGTAATCCGGCAGGCTAGAAATGACCAAGAAAGATAGAGTGGGCTTTGTTGTTTCTCTAGTTTGGTTTTAAAACATAAGGAAGTTGTTGTACACACTTGAAAAGATCAGTCTTTCCCACAAAAGTGAAAATACCTGCTCATTCTTTTCCTGAACTGTCAGAACCAACTCTAGAAAACTAAGACCATGATCCTCTGCTCAGTTATGTAAAAGGGAAGAGATTGAGGGAAAAGGAAAGCTGGACACTGGCATCGTGCCCATCCTGGAACCGACGTGGGCCACAGCCCCATCAACATTCTTCCACGTGGGGCCCCAGGAGAGATGTGGTCACTAGGATTTTCCTCTCCATTCTTTTCTGTGACAGGTGTAGAGGTTAATCAATATGTTGAGACAGACTTCCCCTTGGGGCAGGACTCTCCAACCCTTTTTCATCTCCTGTGCTCAGAGTCTGGGCGGAGCCCAGTTTTGTCAGCAATCTGGGAGGCTTTCTAATGTGACTGGTGCTCTGTAGTGTGTGGCCAAGAGGGCAGGCCCTGCAGACACGCGGCCTGGGTCCAGATTCCAACTCCGCTGCTTGCTGTGTGAACCTGAGTCAGTTTCTTGACCTCTGGATGACCTCGTAGAGTTATTATGAAGATTAGATGAGTTAATATATGTGAAGCACTTAGAATGGTGGGGTGCATAATAAAAAAGTGTTAGCCATTCCTATTATGATGATCTTAAACACTTAGAATTTAAATGTTGGTTCCCCTTGAGAAAGAGAGAGAGTAGAGAAGAGGCAGAGATCAATCAGGAATGATGGGTGAACCACCCTGGGGGCTGTGTTGGACCAGTAGGGGGGACTGGAAGAGATAAAAATAGAGTTCTTTCCTACAGGGTGCTGTTAGGTATCAGAGTCAAAGAGCCACCCACAATCACATTGCAAAAGATGTCTAAGCCAGTGGGATCAGTGACCAAGTGGCTGAGTGGTAAGAGCCAAGAGGAGGAGCCACTTTTCATGCAGAGGGAGATGGATTGAACCAGGTTTTGAAGAAAAGACTTGGGTAGAGGGAAGGACGTTCCTGCCAAGTAATAAACAGAGGCATCATGAGCAGGAAGGCATAATGTGGAAGAAGAGCCTAGAGCAGGGGTGGGCAAACTTTTTGACTCGAGGGCCACAATGGGTTCTTAAACTGGACCAGAGGGCCAGAACAAAAGCATGGATGGAGTGTCTGTGTGAACTAATATAAATTCAAAGTAAACATCATTACATAAAAGGGTACGGTCTTTTTTTTTTTTTTTTTTTTTAGTTTTATTCATTTCAAATGGGCCGGATCGGGCCCGCGGGCCGTAGTTTGCCCATGGCTGGCCTAGAGCCTCAGATCGTGCTAGGAATGGGAGGACAGAGGCGGAGCACAGCATTTCACTCAGCAGGGAGCCTGTGGGCAGGAAGTGACCTGCTGGCAGCAGCATTCAGGGAGCTCTTTGCCAGTGGGAGTGGACAGGATGACCCTTACGCTTAGTGGGATAGAGATGGCAGAGGAAGAGACCATTTCACTCAGTACATATTCATAGAAGTCATACTGTGCACCATGGACTCACTGCTTCTGGAACCCAGACAGACAAGGCTCCTCTCTGGGAGCTTAAAATGTAGTGAGTTCCAGTTGACCCACTCAGGGAACACGGGTGAGTGCTGACATTATCCTATATAATAAAAGTGTAGTATGCAAATTGTCCCTTCAACCGGGAGTTCGTCTGGGAGTTTGACCAGGTGTTAGGGTCAGCTGGGGGAAGGGAGGGAGGCCCCAGCCAGCAGCTGCTAGGAACCCAATCAGTGCACAAATTTCGTGCACTGGGCCTTTAGTTAGATATAAGGTTGTTGGAGAGCAGGATATTCTTATTGTCATCAGAGTCTCAGATGAATTACAAAGGACACCTTTCCTGGAGAGATTTGACGTTCCCATGGTAACCAAGTGACTACACCTGTGTGACTGAGTTGGGATTTCCTGATGTGATGCCATTGGAGGCAGATACTCTAACAGAAGAACTAAAACAGGATCTAATCATGGGGAACCAATCAGACAAATCCATAATTTGGGGTGTTCTATAAGACAGCTGAGCTGGTGCACAGAGATTAAATGTCAAGATAAACAAACAAAAAAGGAAGTATAGGTGAAAGGAGGATAGAGCAGGGATTAGCAAATTATATAGCCCATAGCAGCCCGTGCCTGCTTTGTAAATAAAGTTTTATTGGCACCCGTACACATCCATTCCTTCCCATGTGTCTCAGGCTGCTCTAATCCTACAGTGCAGCTTTGAGGAGCTGTAACGGGGACTCTCTGACCCACCACGCCCAAGATGTTTACTGCCTGACCCTTTACAGAAACTTCCCTGACCCTGGATTAAAGCAACGTATTAACCAAACACAACGCATGACCCTTGGTAGTTCCTGGATCAGGGTGACAAAAATGCAAACATCAATACATGGGGAAGCGTGAACAGGGAGTGCGTGTTCCAGGAACTTACTGAATTCCTGTTAACTCTCTGAGGCACGGCTGTTCTATTGGGATTGTGCTGCACAATGTCTGTCCTGGCTGTTGAATACTGAAGTACTTTGGGGGTTGAATCATGATGTCTACAGTCTACTTGTAAGTGGTTCAGTCAAAAAAGAAAGAGAGAGAGAGAGAGAGAGAGAGAGAGAGAGAGAGAGAGAGAAAGAAAGAAAGCAAGCAAAAGAAAGAAAAGCAAAGCAAATGAGGTGACAAAATGTTAATTAGTCAGTCTAGGTCAGTGGTCAGCAAACCGCGGCTCGAGCGCCACATGCGGCTCTTTGGCCCCTTTTGTGTGGCTCTTCCACAAAAATACCACCTGCGGGCGCGC